CTTAATATATATTTTATTTGAAGAGACACTTATTTATACTTAAGTACATCTTCATTGTTCCATATAAGCAAACGAATGTTGAGATCAGTTTGATATCATGAATCAAACACCTTTATTCATCTTCCATTACTTTTTCGAAGGAAAGGTAATATTTATTTATATGTCTATATTTTTTTTCGATAGATACCATTGGTAATTGGGGTGAGCATCAAAATCACAAAACTTGAGATGGGAGCAGAAGAGCGATTGACAGATGTAAAAGAGACAGACAGACAGACAGACAGACACAAAGGTAGAGTAAAAGGTAAGGTGAGGTAAGTACTGCGAAAATGGTCGAATATGACATATAGTGGGGTCATGGTAGCTTGAAGTTAAATACCGATTTTTATACTTTTTGTCGCATGAGTACACGTTACCCGGGAAAGAAAGAAAATAAAATGAGCTAGGACCTTGAAGGTGTGTGTGAGAGAGGGGGGGCAGGTCTTGACTTGATCATACCTCTGTACATTGTGTCAATCGCAAATGATTGGGTAGACAAATTTATTGCAACGGGAGGTTAATGGGCGGGGAAGGGAGTGTGTTTCGCTCAAAAAACTCCTCACCTCACGGGTGGTGCACCATATGCCTGGATTCCGCAGACCAGTTTAGAATTGGGGAATTAGGCCCCAAAATAAGAGTACTTCTGTTGACTTAAGGAGCTTGAAATCCGTGATAGTGAATGGAACACAAAGAGTCTAGCTAAATGTAGAAGAATCTATAACAGAGATTTCTAAGTTAGTCATTCTTAACTAGTGAAGCAATTCGCTACAATGTGTTTTCAAGTACTCCATTTTGATTGGTGTGTTTAAACCACGTAAGTTGCCTTTCAGTGATCGTCTTTAGGGCTCAGTTCTCCCATATCAGCGATATAATTCAAATTATTCCATTGATTTACGTTAGCCCCTTTCAATGAACTCAGTAAAAAGATCTCTGTGTTAATAATTGCTTGATTTATCCCTCTCACTTCCATGTAGTCTCGCAGAATCTGGATGGCGCATTCTAAGAATATGACTTGAAGCGAATGAGCCAAACTAGCTATACTTCCGATCATCTAAACATCCTACAGTTGATAAATGAAGGTAGTATAGACGTCTTCTTTGACGTCTCGACAACTATGTCTCTGCAGTGCATACTCTTGTTGAATTCAACACAAAGCATACTGTTGCTCAAAAAGAGACTTCTATAAGAAACATTTTCCCTACTTGATTGACGATTTTTCAAAAGCTTGGCCTCTGTATGTATCACTTGTCTCCAATAGTGAACTTCTTGCAGTACTCAAAGAAAATGGAAAAAATATCAACCCCTTGCAACTCTTTTGAAATATGTTGCATTAAATTCACAATTAATTAAATTACTACTTACAAATTCATGAGGTAGGTAGCGAACTACGTCTGCTCAGACTCTGTTTGCGGCAAAGTTAATCTCAGACGTTTCACAATATTCTTCTAAAGAGCCATATTGTTGAGGCTTTGATGTTTCTCTTAGCCCCAAAAGAGTTAAGAAACCGAATTAATAGGATTTTTAGCCTGCGACTTTAAGAAATGCAAATTGGAGTGTTGTAACAGTTACAGATAACTAGGTGGCCAAATGAAATGCACTTTACTACAAAGAAAATCACTTCCTGACCCAGTTATCGTGACACAAAGTTTACTTATATCAAATAGCAGGCGTTTTGATGGTTATCATTAGCCCTTTAGTTGACTTGACAGGCGTTTTGATAGTTATCATAGGCTTCACAGAGAGGAGGATGAACTTCAAAGTGAAAGAAAGTTGAGAAGGGGGAGGAACGGAAGAGTGTTTCAAAGATGTAAAGGAGGCAGACACAAAGGTAGAATAAAGGTGAGGTGAGTACTGTGGAAGTAGTCGAATATGACATACAGTGGGGTGATGGTAGTTTGAAGTCAGAAATCAACTGCCGAATAATAGACATTTTTGCCTTATGAGTATACGTTGCCCAGGGTGTACCACGTGGAGGTAAGTCTATCGCCCCAAGCATGAAATATTTGTCACAACAAGATTCTGAGCATAAAGAAATAAATCATCTACAAAAAATTAGACATGCGCATGCCCTACACGGAATAACTGAAATTGGCATTAAGAAACTAAGTCATCAGAGAGAAATACGAAAAAGCAAATTTCAGGGCTATACGTATATGATGTTTCTATTGGAGAACTATTCCTACAGGTTGTCCCAGTCAAATCACCCCCTTCCCCCCCCCCACCCCCACCCCACCTAATCAATATGCCTATCACCTCGGGTTCGCTGTATTCCGCCACAACATGGCCAAGATATTTATTTATTCCAAATGGCAGGCGTTTTGATAGTTATCCTCAGCCCTTTAGCTGACTTCGGGCTTCATAGGGGGAAAGAACATCAGGATAACAGAAAGTCGAGGGGTAGGGAACAGAAGAGTAATTCACAGATGTAAATTAGACAGACGGATACAGAGGCAGAGAAAAGGTAGGAGGAGTACTGTGGAAGTGGTTAAAAATGACCTACAGTGTGGTGATGGTAGTTTGAAGTCAGAAGTCAATTGCCGGTTAATAGACTTTTTTGCCGTATGATTATACGTTGTCCAGGGTGCACCACGAGGAGGTAAGTCTATTGCGCACCCCCGATGGCCAAGATAAAGTGCCGTAATTAGACGTTTCGAGTTGTCAATCGTTGGTCATGATGGACACTGGGCACTTACCGTGAATCATTGAGCGTTCAGTTTGCTTTCATTGGTAACATTCCGTAATTACTTCATTTAAACAAAAAATGTGTATTCACACGGGATTTCTTTCATTATGACCACCCCTTTAAAATATCATAGGAGTAGAGTTAGATCGCAAAGCGGTGCTGATCATGGTAGAGTTGCGCCTTAAGAAATTGTGCAACTGCGTAGACACAAAAATTATCATTCCCACATTCCAATCTCCTAAAAGAGATCAATGCTTGGAAGGTAGAAGGAATTACTATGATATTCATTGAAGCATTTTCAAATATTAACGGTGCCACTTCAAGACGTTTCTCTTCTAGATGTCAAGACGTTTGAAAATTATGGCATTCTTGTGTCCTTTTCTCTCCACCATTCAAAATCTTTAAATTGAAAGAATATTGCTAAATATTACTGGTGCATGAAGGTTGTTACTAGAACCAGGCTCCCGCAGGACCTGTGGTGGGGGAAATTGCGATGTACGACACTGCAAAACAAGGTAGTTGGGTAACTATTCCTCAAGTCCAATTTCCGGATTCCGCAGTTTATGAAGTTTGATTTAATGTGCCCAGCTAATATTACTCCGCAAAGACTGAATTACGAATCTCATTGACCAAATATTCCTCTACACCTCCACAAAATAATGCCATTAAGGATCTATCAAAGCAACCGCTTCGTCTATCTAACTACATAATCGATGATATAGTTAACAATAACCTAAATTTGCAATATACAGTCAGATAATTGAGCAATAGTTGGATGAGAATGGATTACTTGCAATATCTTGAGTAGAAGTCATTGTGCTCCTACATATATTCTACCATGGTCTTTCTTAAATATTTCAAAAAGCCATCCAGATGGTTATTCAATCTCAAGGCGATATTGACATCGGTGAACGGAAACCCTTGTTTATGAGCTATTGTTTCTTTCGCCCTTCTAAATACTCGCAGTACTAACCTATGAATATCTCAGCGGAAAAGTGAAACCACGAAAATGCCTAGATATCGTTACACGACTTCGATTTTCCCCAAAAAGCACGATTCATAAGATGAGCAAATAAAATAAAATGAAAGATTCTTTAGTTTTTTCACACTCCCAATGGTTCCCCTTGAAATTAAGCATTCATACAGAGGGAAGTGAGTACTAATAAAATGGAAAAAAGCACATCGAAAAATGCACAAATAAATGAGATCAGTCATTCAATCGATCAATTCATCAATCAAGAAGGTCAAAATCAAATTCCAGTAGAAATCCAGGGGCAGTAAGTTCATCTTCCTCAGTCATAGCTGCTTCGGGCTGTTCTTGAGCGTCATCAAAGAACCACGAACAGGAGATGTTGTGGACAAGTCCATTTAGGAGAGGTATCATGGCTGAGTCAACGCCGTTGACATAAGCCGGTTCAGAAATCAATGGTCGTGGAAGACTCCGAGCTCCATCTTGGCCAATTGGAGCACTCTCTACCTTCCACCAATCAGAATCCTCTAAGTAACGGGATAAACCGATTGCGATTTGGCGGATCGATTGATTTGTCAAGGGGCTCATATTGCTACCAATGAAGAATTTGAATGTATTTGGAGGTTGAAGAAGAATTCGGAGGGAGATAGACCGATGATTTGCTTTCCTTAATAAAGCCGTATGCGGGAATATGGCCTAAAATGAGAGCAAAAGCCAAGTAAACAGGTTCAGGTTACTCGCCAAAAGGCACTTAAATTTCTCTCATTTAACTAACAGTTCCTTGCCAATGAAGGCGCCAAAAAACACAGCCAGTTTAATCATTTCACCACCACCACAGTAAAGTTAATTGCTTTAGTTGTAAAAAAGGCTGAAACTGACGCCCCTAAAATGACAGACTCGTTGACTTGGAAATATACATATAAAAACACATATATAGAGCAGACTGACAGGCATGCTAACAAAACAGGTTCAGTTAAGCCTTGACAAACAATTATGAAATTGAACTAGGAGGGATTTGTAAATTAATACTTGTCCTGCTCCCTAGTTATCCCACCCAATAGGAAAAAGGAGTGTCCGTGAGATCACGTGCCAGTGAGTTTCCATTTGGAGAGCCTTTAAAGTGGTGCGCGTTTAAAAGCCCACTTGCATCATTCTACTAAAGAAGCCTTCTGGTGATATCAAAGTCATGAGAGTCATGCTTATTGCCTTCATTAGAGGAAAGCTCTCAACCTTGAACTGCAGTGATAATGGAGCGAACTTTGTACACATAAACTCGGTGGTTAATGATGTTCAGCTAACAAATATTAGTAAGTAAAACAGCTGCTTCAGCATTTTAAAAGTACCAAATACAGGGAGGCAACATGAGAACCCATTCAAATCATTACAAAAAAAACCAAAAAATCGGAACCACCTCACGAGCTCAGACTCACGGGGTCAAATGCAGACATGAGAAAATCAAAGTATTGGCTTCTAGTGCAGTGAATAACTACAAACTTAGCAGATGCGTAAAAGAAGTATGCGACCAAAGAGTAATAAATAAAGTGGGGCACATATGATAACCAATGAACAAATTCCAAGATTAGGTCATTAGAGTATTTATTTATGCCAAATGGCAGGCGGTTTGATAGTTATTATTAGCCCTATAGTTGACTTCAGGCTTCACAGAGAGGATGAACTTCAAAGTGAAAGAAAGTTGAGAGGGTGGAAGGAACAGAAGAGTGTTTCAAAGGTGTAAAAGAGACAGGCAGACACAAAGGTAGAAAAAAGGTGAGGTTAGTACTGTGAAAGTAGTTGAATATGACATACAGTGGGGTGATGGTTATTTGAAGTGAGAAGTCAACTGCCGGTTAATGGACTTTTTTGCCGTATGATGAGTATACGTTGCCCAAGTGCACCATGTGGAGGTAAGTCTATCGCATAACCCGATCATTTGAGTATTGGCAGATAAAGCCACGAAATACGCTCTCGAGAAGCGTACTCAATACCCTCCCCTTAAAAATCACATTACTACCACATTACTCAAGTGCTTATCGTTGATGAATATTTGTGGGAAAACAAATCTGTTGTCACTGCTACAGATGAAAAATGTGCATTGAGAAAGTGCAGCTCCTTTCAAAATTCTGAAACAAGAACCCAGCCCAAAATTCTAAACATCAATCGGTGTAGTGCTGTGAAAATACAAACAAAGGGAAGGACTAACATCAAATCACACACACTACCCAAGTAAATCAGATAAAATAATAATAACAAATATAATACAATATAATAGTAATAAACGTGGCAATAAGGCTACATATACGAGGGTTAGTCAAAAAGTTCTCAGACAAATGCCATAAATTGAAATAGAACGAAAATTCACAAGTTTTACGACGACTACTACTACTACTACTAAATAATTTAATAACCTTGAACAATATTTTTCTGTGTGGGGTGTGCGATAGACTTACCTCCACGTGGTGCACCCTGGACAACGTATACTCATACGGCAAAAAAGTCTATTAACCGGCAGATGACTTCTGACTTCAAACTTCCATGACCCCACTGTATGCCATATTCGACCCCTTTCACAGTACTCATCTTTCCTTTTCTCCGCATTTTTGTCCGTCTGTCTATTTACATCTTTGAATCACTCTTCTGTTCCCCCTCTCGACTGTTTTTCCACTGTGTCTGTTCCTCCCCTCCCTGAAGTCCGAAGTCAACTAAAAGGCTAATGACAACTATCAAAACGCCTGCCATTTGATATAAATATACAAAAATATTTGGTTGTGTAAATAGTCATGCCCAAAACACACCTAACCCTAATCTTATCTGGACTTGAAAGAACAAGTAACTAGAACGTTCTTCTGCTAACTCCCAAATGCATCAATTTTAAGCCGACAACGTTCAACGATCTCCTCTCAAATTGACTTAATTAGCAAATCCATTTGTTTCCTGCGTAGAAAGGTGAGAAGTAATTGACCACTGCCAGTAATGAGGGAACAACCTATTGAACGCGTTTATCAAAAGAAAGTGAACTTAATCTATTTGCGAGTGAGTTACAATTCACTTCATCTCTCACCAAACTGTGCGCACAACTTGATGCACGCATAGATGAAGAAAATGAATTCCGCAATTTAATATGCCTATCGGAAAAGGAGAAATATCTGGACAGAAACTCCTCTTAATTTGCTATTATCTTGCAGATTATTGCTATTATTATTATTAGCAGGATATAGAGGGTATACCCGTCCATCAAAATGGCATATACATCTTAATGAAGGCAGTGACAACTCAATCAACTGCAGTCAGGCAACACACTTCACAGGGTAGAGCAAAAATGCATAAATAATGTGACGGGCATTTTAATGACACAACCAAACACCTACATAAATCCCCTATCTAATCAAAACACACCCAGATGCCAAAGGAATCAAGAATAGCATATGGAAATCCGCTTTCCACCCCACCCCCACCCCTCTCCAACCCACCAGCCCCNCCCCCCCCCCCCCCATAAAATTTCATTAAATGATGCCATTTGAGTGAAGGAATGGACTGTGTGTTTGTTTCTGACAAGATTTGTGTATGTTTGAATAAATTAACTTGACGCCACTCGTCACTGTTTTGAATTCTAGCGAGGCAATTGGTCCATTTTTGTCAGTGACTTTCTTCTCTCCTTATTTTTAATCAGGAGAAAAATTGTAGGTACCTCCATAAAGTGATTCAAGTCAACAAGTCATTGACAACATTGGCAAATCGATAAACCCTCCTCCCATCACTTTTGATGTATTCCGGTATTGATTCTACACGCATTGGCACACCTCAATCTAGGTGGGAAATCTACCAAAAAAGTGCATTCAGGAACTCCTGATACTCTTAACTTTGAAGCAGACTTGCTCCCTACTCAAGAGTGGTAGAACTACGAAAGAAAGGTGTAGACATCGGAACACAAGAGATCAAAATTCCTGAAGTCGGACTCCAAATGTACCTTAAGTGGTCTAATAAGTTCCAAGCCCTCCGAATGGGAGAATTTTAACAATCATTTCGATTGATCGCACTGTCTGCCGAATGAGCAAACTCACACACAGACCTCCAGGCCAAAACTCCCAATACAGTGGTATTCTTGAGAGATCATGTGTCATGAAATATGAAAAAGAAATCATCATTCACTTGAAAATCTTATGCCATATCTCAGGGAGAGAGAGATGGAGAGAGAACAGACTCTTAGCATATACTGTCACTCATCACAATGACCATTTGTTTTAGGCGGCACATAATGACGTAAAGAATGAATTTTTACCTCAGCCGAAAGCCTTTCCGTCATTACATTAAGAAAATATCCCATTTTGTGTAAACTTGAGTCATACGATTAACAGTACCAATACAAACATGTGAGAAGCGTAACTAACACTACAGTAACAAACTAATCGCCTGGAATAGCAGAGATCATGCAATCGAAAGCTAACAATGTACAAACAGGTACCTGAAGTAAAGTCTAGCTAGGATATAGGAAAACCAGGACAGCTCAATAATGTTGACACTCCTCCCAAATTATGCGTTCATTGGAATGGGCTATTCGAAAATACTTGGAAGTTTTGCTCAGACTCTGTCCAGACAATGGAATAAATTTCGTCATTATTCTAAGGCAACTGCACAATTTAACTCTATCATCTTTCTGTGGAAGTTGTAATTTTCTTAATTAACAAATATCTCAAATTTGTTTAAAATTAAATTACACTCCACCCCCCACCGCCGCCGCCGCCACCACCACCACCACCCCCTCCCTCACCCACTTCTAGCCCCTTCCCCCCCNCCCCCTCCCCCCCCCCCAGGCAGTTGAGAATATTTTCCCTTCTTCTAGCCGCCATCTTCCGCTTTTTGTACTCCACGTTCTCCACCTCCTAACATCCAGTTGCGAGATATTCACAGAATTCGCGGCACATTGGCTTAGGGCGACTGAAATTGTGGCTGTAGGTGAAATTGTTCAAAGGATGCGATCTGCTTAAACCGTCCCACCACATCAAGCCTCTTCTCTCTCTCTCTCTCTTGGCCAAATCTCTCTCTCTCTCTCACTCTAGCTCTCTCTGACTCTAACTCTAACTCTCTTTCACTTAACTAATTAAGTTAAAATAGATTTAAGTGACACGCGCGTGCGCTCAGTGTGTGTGTGTGTGAGCGCGTGCGTGCGTGCGTGTGGATGCGGTGAGTGGAAGAGGAAGGCGACGACACTCGCCTGATTAAAATAAATCGCAAAATCAAATGGTAGACGTGAAGGAGGTCGGAAGTCAAGGGATCTAGCTTAGATAGAGACCAGCATAAAATGAAGAAAACCAGTTAAACCTAATGGCCTCACCGACAAACAGAAGAGAATTAATATTGGGGGGAGGGGGGGGGGGGGGTTGGGAAAACAAACGAATTTTTTAAAAAAAAACTAATTTTAGAGAGTAAGAGGAGTTAGAAGTCATGGGACGAATCAGTAAATGACCTCATAGTCAAATAAAAAGAATAGAAAATGGGACAAAAATTGATAATGACAATTTAACGAGAGTTAAAAAAGAAACCAAGAGCCAACTGGAAATTTGATTCAACTACTTCTTTACCTTGAGGGGTGT